TTTACCACTTATTCTTAATGTTTCACTTTTATCAGTATCTACTCTTTGCTGTCGAAGAGTTTCCATCCTCCCTTATCCATCCACTTTATGGGAAAAATTAGCCTATTTCCTTGTTTGGATTTTTGCTTCCAAGAAAACTTGTTTTTTTTTAACCAGTTTTCCACTAGTCTGTTCTTTTCTGGTATTATCTTCTTTTTTGATGTTCTTAGAATCTAGGGAGAGGTCCTGATTTGGGTTCTAATAGATTTTGAAAAAAAAAAAGTATGATTTGATAGCTAAGACTATGGGCTTGAGCATTACTTTCTCCTCTGTAACATACCGCCAGCTACCCCAATGGTGTGTGAAAGCATAAATGCACACATCATTAAAATAACAAGTCATCAGTCAGTTGCTTCTGAGTCTATCAAACATCTGGTGACAGCCCTGAGTCTTTGCTTTTCCATAATAAACATCGCCAGGTTCTGTAAGTATATCTCAAATGGCATGACTTCAAATCTCTCCATTTTTTAATCTTATATCGTATGCCTATGAGTGAACTTTGGCTGCTCTACTTCTCAACTTAAAATGTGGGGGCCAGAATGGAACACAATACACAGGTGAGGTGACAGAGTTAGAGTTCCCTATGTTCTATTTACGTATTTTGGAAGGTTTACCATACCATAGTCAGGACACACCCACGACTTCTCACTTGTGTTGTTGTTAGGACACATTCACTCCATTCTGTCCTCATGTAGCTGGCCTTTTGGGACACATACAATTATTAAATTAGTCCTATTATATTGGGTAAATTCAGTCTATTACTCCATTATGAAACTTAGAGGGCTATTTTGTCTTCTACTAAATCTCTTTCTAGCTTAATTTCCTGGCTGATTTGATCAGGATACCATCAAGTCCTTATCCAAGTGCAAAGAGGAGAAAGGCAAGGTGAGTATGCATTCATTCATCAGCCAACAAATTTGTGGAGAGCTCGCTACATGCCACCACTGGGCTAGGTCCTAAGGATACAATGGAAAGCAAAAAATGGCATTCTCTACTATCACAAAACTTACCCAATGGGGGAAAAAAGTAAGTAATTACTTTAATTATTATATTACCATAAACTGAGTATGTTCACCAAAGGATACGGATGTGGTTCTATGATAGCAGGTAACCAAGTAACCTACCCCAGGCTAGGATCTTAGAGAAAGTGACCCTGAAGATTAAGCACACATCTCATTAAGCACAGTTTGCTAAGAGAGGAGGGAAAGGAGGATAAACCGGACAGAGGATATACAAGAGCACTGTGCTCTTAGAAAACTTTCTTCAGATTACTAGTTAGTAGGCTGCTTAATTACATTACTACACAACTTCCATTTCTCCACCTTTTCTCAAAAGTTATTTAGAATGATGGACTGACTGTCCAAGGCCAAGCTGAAGTCTAGTTCATCAATCAGTTCTTACAGAATCCACTCTCCTGAAACCATAAACATTTGTCTAATTCAATCTTTCTTACAACACTCCCCCTTATATGTGATTTTTTAAAATCAACCACCATGTTTTCAAAACATCTCTAAGTTTTCTTCATATCCAAGATGTAATTTATCAGAACCAGAAGATTTAAAAAAGATTTAAGCAGCTCAAATGGTATTTTTCAAAGTGTGATCCAAGGGCCAGCTGCATCAGGCAGGAATACCTCAGGTGCTTATTAAAGGGCAGATTCCTGGGCACCAACCCAAACGAGCTGAATTAGAGTTGATAGGGTTCAAGAATCTACATTTAACAAGCTCCCCAAGTGATTATTCCACCTTAATGTTTGAGAATCCCTGAATTACTTGTGTTCTCACAGCGTCTAAACACTTACACAGAGCTTCAAGTCCCTAATATTTAAGCCCCCTGAGTCTGAAGTGCATTACTCTTGGAGAAATCTGGCAAAGAGAAAGCAGTTTTGCAGTCAGAGAGATCTGGAATCAAACCTGGTTCTACTACTTACTATCTAGGTGAGCTTGGACAAGTTACTTAATATTTCCAGACCTATTTCTTCATTGATAACATGTAGACAAGAATATGTACTTCATAAGGATGTTGTTGCAATGAAAAAAAAGAGTCAGAACAATGATAGAGGAAGCCTATCATCTTTTGGAAAATTACTGAGGTCTACATACCATTTATAACAAGATGAATAAAACATCATCACATACTGCACTGCATATTATGTTTATCAGGGTGAAGGAAACATTCCCATCTCATTAATTTGTTGGTTTTTGCACCTATTGCTTTATGATTAAGGTATAATCAAATGCTTCCACTGTTTTGTTAAGGGTCCCATGAAAATGTAGACTTTTTCACCCCTTGAACTGTCTGAAGCCTCCTTACCACTATACATATGACAAAGGCCTGAAACTCTAGCATGACCTCAACCGGAATCTTCTTCAGCCTCACCTCTCCCCCATCTCCCCCTAAGTTAGCATTCCTAGTATCAAACGCTGGTTCTGCTGCTTAGTATAAGGTCTTGGTGAAGCTATTCAAACTCTCTGTGCCTTAGTTTCCTTATCTGTGAAATGGGAATAACAACAGTACCTATTTCATGGGAATTTTAGAAATATTAGATAACATTTAGTTAGCACTGTCAGCTATTCTCATTGTCACACTGTCCCTATACTAGCAGCTGCTCCCTCTTAGTTCTCTGAAGGCTGTAAGGTCCTTCTCACCTCAGGATTTTCACTATTCCCTCGGCCTATAATGCACCTGGCCTCTTCTCGTGGCCAACTTCTACCCATTCTTAAGGCTTAAATGTCATTCATCTGAAGCAGCTTCCTGATCCACCCCTGCCACCACCACTTCTTAACAAAGTAGGTTAAGGATCCCTGTTAAATACTCATTCACTCTGTATTTTTCCTTTGCAGCACTTATTATAATTCAATGTTTGTTTACTCCATTAAAATAAGAAACATGTCTCACACTACTCTATATCCACCCTGATAATTAGCACAATTCTGAGTCCGTAACAGCACTCAAAATATTTTACTTATTTGAGGAATGAATGATTTCTTAAATCTAACTATGCCCAATCTTTCTTTCTTGGGATTGTAACCTCTAAAAGTCAGTCACTTTTCTGCCCAGGGGCAGAACTCCTCACTCCCTTTACTTCCTAAGATAAAATTTTCAGAAATGCAAATCAAAAACTTAACAAATCCTAGCTTTTGGCTGGGTGGGTCTCCCAAGAGGGTGTCTCAACTCCAAGGTACTTTACATCTGTACTGTTCAATATGGTAGCAACTAGTTTATGGGGCTACTGAGCATTTGTAGTGTTGCTAGTCCAAAATTGTATGTGCTGAAGCGTAAAATACAGTCTGGACTTTAAAGACTTGGTACGAAAAAATGTTAAATATCTCATCATTTTATTACATGTTGAAATAATATTTTATAAATATAAGGTTACATAAATATATTAGTAAAATTTTCACCTGTCTTTTTTACCTTTTTAAATGTGACTACTAGAAGACTTACATATATGGTTTGCATTAGGTTTCTATTAGACAGTGCTGTTTTAGACTATCTGCGAGACGGTATGTTGTAGTTCCCCATATTATTTCCTCTCATTTTAATCCATAAAAAAATTTTCCAAATTCTTTCATGGTTTTTGTCAATTCTGATATTTCTGATGTATGGGGCTATTCCAACCATCCCTGTGAATATGTCTGATTATTTTAAAATAAGGCATAGTTTCCTAATCTTGGGTCTCATCACATCAAACTGCAAAAACAAAACAAAACAAAACAAAAAACCGTGGAGATTTATTTTTATACTATAAACATTATGGTTAGGAACCCAAGATCTAGAGCCAGGTCACGGGTTTTGGGAGTCCTGGCCTATATAGCTATTACTTACTAGCTGTATAACTTTGTTGCTCTGAATATCTCTGTACCTCCGTTTCTGCAACTAAAACATGGGGATGTTAACAGTGTCTGCTTCCTAGGGATGAGAGCACTAATTGCTAGTGGTAAAGTGTTTAGAACGTTGCCTGAGATGCTGTGAGCATTCAGTAAGTAATGACTGTCATCGTACATACCCCTCATCCTTCTCACCTACTCATATATTCTCTTGTAATATTGGACACCTCTCGTAATGATGTTGTTCCTCCAGAATTCTGCTACTTGTTAGCTGAGTAGCACTTGGGGAAGGAACTTAGCCTCTCTCACTTTTCAGTTTCCTTATCTGTATATGAGACTAGGTACTGCCACCTTCCTTGCACAAGTTTGAATAACACAATGTGTACGAGGTTCTTTGTGTGATCCCTTAACACCAAATAAGATACCTCAAATGCATTTTCTGGTTTAAGACATGCGGCACTCACAATACACCATAAGATAGGTATTTTGTAAAGAAGAAAACAAGAACTGCAAAGTCAAGACTTGCCCGAAGTTAGCTATCTGTGCAATGTTGGAACGAAGTTTCACTCTGAGCCAAAGATTTTTTTCACGAAACTTGAGCTGCTTTCCCTATGCACGAGTGCTAGAAATAAATTACTTCATGATGTTCATGGGATTGCAATGTTTGGAGAAATGCAAGAAACCGGCAAAGTAAGTCTATCGCCCTGTTGCCCGATGAAACTGCAATATAAAATCAAAATACAGGTTTTCTTAACACCATTATTAGGTCAAAGTACCCAAGAGCCCTAGAGTCGGCGACATGGACGAAATTTCAGTAAACAAAACAAAGCAACGAGTTTCTCCTCTAGCGCCCCGAGGAAATTGAGGACCTCGGGAAGGAGGTTCAATTGACGGGCCTTCGGGGCTGGGCCGGTCCCCGCCCAGGCTGCGCAGCCCGGTCGCCTCCAGACCCGAAAGAGGCCACGGCCCCGCTGCACCCGCCCACCCCTCACCTCCGGCTCCGGGCGCTCCGAGGCCATCCCACAGCGCTCCCGCGCCAGCCCGGGCCAGAGAAGAAGTTCCACTTGTGACCCCTGACCCGGCTATCTCGCGCCTGGTACAAACCGGAAGTGAGTGGGTGGGACAAGTTATGAGCTCCCTGATTGGTGGAAGGAGCCCTCTCAGAGTGACTCGCTGACTAGGAAACAGGAAGAGGAGGTCGTGGCCGCAGACTCAGACCCCGCCATGCAGGTGAGTACCGGTTTGGGGCTCATGGTTGCCAGTTAGCTTCGGGTTGCTGGACCGGGAGTGGCTGAGAGAGGAAAAAATTAGAAGCTGGGGCTGAGAGGAGTGGGCGGGGCCGGCGGCTAACGTATAAAGGAACGTGGTGGAGGAGCAAGGCCTACAGGATAGGAGAGATAGAGATTTGATGGATTGGGAGTCTTGCTGAGAGAGTAGCTGCGGCTAAGTCTGGAGGGAGGAAGCACTGATTTGCTGGAGTGTGGGGTAGGATCAGGTTGTTATTTGGGAAGGCTGAGATGTAATCTAAGGAAGACAGCTCCAGAAAGTGGCGGTTTGCTCAGGCCCCGGCCTTGGCTGTTGTATGGACGCCATTGGATGCAGAAATAACAGGAGATTCGTAATTGGAGAGAAGCCCGAGGTGACGAAATTGGGGGACACACTGACTAAATCTAAATTAATTATAACCTGAGACCGTGGGTAGAACCCTGGATCAAGTCTCTTGCCCTGGAAACCTGTTGGCGAGTTTGCAAAACTGTTTCCCAATCTGTGCCCGATAGTTGTTAAGGATAAAGATCTGAAGTTAAACTGGAGGTCATAAATGTAAAAGAGATTGCTTTGCAGACACCAGCCCCCCCCCCCGCCCCCTGCCAGCATTGACAGCTGTTTGTCTACTGCTTAGGATATGTGCATTTTTGTTTTTTTGTTTTTCATTTGTCATTTAGTTTCTTTCACCTGTAGTCTGTCTATAAATGTTTATAGGTTGACTAAGCCTGTGAAAGGGGCATAGGAATATTGGCACAGAGATAAAATGAGTGCAGATTAATTCAGCAAGGAGGAGGTTGAAACAGCAAATGCTGAAGGCAAATGAAGGGGGTGGTGCAGTGGTGGTGCAAGGCTAGTGTGCAGAGAAACCTTCATGTGTTGGTAGATTTCTCACAGATTGTGTGCCATTGACAAGAACAGCCCAGCTCAGAAGGCAAGTTCTAGGACAGAAGAGTATGTATGCTGCAGAGGTACACAAAAAGATAATAAACCCAAGGCATTTAGGCCTGGAGGAAATGTCTCAGTAAGAGGGATTAGAGTGTACTTAATACAAAGGAAAAAACAGGCTTGGATTAGGAGGTGATGAGAGAAAGGAATCGGTTGGTAGGAAGAATCGAAGTCAGGTGAATGGGTTGAAAGGTCCCAGGGTTGATGCTGTCTGTGACCCAAATACCAAAGATAAAGTACAACCTGACTCTCTAATGCCAGTGAGATCCTGAGTTAATTTGACTAGTGTTGCACACTGTTGTCCTGTATGTGTATGTCATACTCACACTCATCTGGGTAATCATCCTGTTCCTATTGGTGCAGAGGGAAGAGAAACAACTTGAGGCATCATTAGATGCATTGCTGAGTCAAGTGGCTGATCTGAAGAACTCACTGGGGAGTTTCATTTACAAGTTGGAGAACGAGTATGACCGGTTGACCTGGTAAGGGCGGCCAGGGTAATCTGGGGAGGGTTCCATGGATGGGGGACCAGGCCTCCTGGTGGATAGAACATCTCCAGTGATGTAACCATTTATCATTTGCAAACATCTTATGATATGTTAGGAGCTGGGTTTCCCAACATCTAACAAGTAAAGTATAGCTTAGGGCCTCCATGGCAAGGAAATAGGGAAATACCCAGTTTCCCAACCTAGATTCTTTCTAGCTTTTGAGTCTCACTCTTCGACCTCACTGGGAAGAGATCCTTCTTCAGTGGGTCTTCCCACTACAGTAGGAATACAAAAGTCATACTGGATTTCTTGCCATAAGTATTGGTGAGTATTTTAAGTCCAACCTACTCTGGAAGTATGGATCCTATTTCTAGGCCAGAACGACAGCGTTTACTCAGTTTCTGAGTTTTTAGTGGTAACAGTGTACCCATAGTTCCTATTTCGTCACCCTTCCTCAGCCCATTTAAATAATGAACTGCTGTTTTTCTCCCTGTGTCAGAAACTGAAAGCGTGTCCCTCTTTCCTAACCTTATAAGCTAGTCAGGTTCCCACCCCTGCCCAATCAAGACATAGGGCTATGAGTCTTTTGGGGCTGAGTCTGGGTATTCCTAATCTGAAGAATTCCTTTGAGACTACTGGGAACATTCTGACACCTTCTTACTACCACCAGGCCCTCTGTCCTGGACAGCTTTGCCTTGCTCTCTGGACAGTTGAACACTCTGAACAAGGTCTTGAAGCATGAAAAGACACCATTGTTCCGGAACCAGGTCATCATCCCTCTGGTGTTGTCGCCAGACCGTGATGAAGATCTCATGGTAAGAGGAGGAGAAAGGTACACCTTGGGAAATTAAGTTCTTAGATGAGGACCTAGAGCACAGTTGTTCTAGAGATTCTGAATGTGGAGTAGTGTGTGGCAATAAAAAGTGAGGGCTGCATTTTGGAGGCCTTGCTTCTTATCCTTCTGGAGTTGGGGAGTTATTCCCAAATAAACCTGTGTCACCAAGGCAAAGACCTTTTTCCTCCAATACCTATCTCAAGCAAAAGTATGTTCTTTTGTGACTTGTACATTTCAGTGTTTGATAAAAATATAGTAGAGAGATTTTCCCCTGTGTCTGGTAGGTATAAGGGTGTGAGGAGACAGAAACAAAGAAGGAATGGTATAGAAGTGAGGGATATATTGTCCTAGGAAGCTAAATATTATTATAAGTCTTAGGCTGTGTTTTCCCTGAAAATGCACTGTTTGCCTGTGGCAGGAACTACAATATATATCAGGCCAGACTGAATCTTCTTGGAATGCATAGGAGGATTAATAAAATTTGTGTTTTACAGCGGCAGACTGAAGGACGAGTACCTGTTTTCAGTCATGAGGTGGTCCCTGACCATCTGAGAACCAAGCCTGACCCTGAGGTGGAAGAGCAAGAGAAACAGCTGACAACAGATGCTGCCCGCATCGGCGCTGATGTGGCTCAGGTTGGGCTGATTCACTGCTCTGCTGCCCCCCATTCCCCAAGTCCCATCATGAGAAGCTAGGCATTACCATTGCTGTCCGGTAAGGATGCACAGTTGGTTGCATGTAAATTGCCCCTAGAAGAACACAAGAAAGCAACTTCCTTGCTTCAGTCATTTCTTGCTTGTCTTAAGCTCTGTACCAATTTTTGTGTTACAGAAGCAGATCCAGAGTTTGAATAAAATGTGCTCAAACCTTCTGGAGAAAATCAGCAAAGAGGAACGAGAGTCAGAGAGTGGAGGTATGGAGGGATCGGTGGCAAAATGGAGAAGGAAAGAGGAATAAGAGCACTTCTACAGGAATGGCATTTTTGGTAGGAATGCAATGAGGATGTAAGAATGAGTTCCGTAGGAAAGGGTTTACATCCATTCTGTTGGTCTTTTTACTTTTAAGGCCAGCCCAGAAGCAGGTGGAGGAAATGGGCAGAATGAAAAGGGAGAATTCTGAGACAGTCACGGGGAATCCTCTGGCTCCTCCTCTGGGCCACCAGGGAATCTAGATGCGGCTGAAGTCAGAACTCCAAGTTCTGGTACTCATACTGGTTTTCATACTGCTAAATTCAGTCCAGGGCCAGAGGTATACCTTAGGGTCCTCACCCTTTTCTTCAGGTCTCCGGCCAAACAAGCAGACCTTTAACCCTGCAGACACCAATGCCTTGGTGGCAGCTGTTGCCTTTGGAAAAGGACTGTCTAATTGGAGACCTTCGGGCAGCAGTGGACCTGGCCAGCCAGGCCAGCCAGGAACTGGAACAATCCTTGCGGGATCCTCAGGATTACAGCAGGTGCAGATGACAGGTGCTCCAAGCCAGCAGCAGTCAATGCTCAGTGGGGTGCAAATGGCCCAAGCAGGTCAACCAGGTAAGATGGCAGGGATTGACATGGTAAGGGAGCTTAAACAGGGAAGTGGGAATAAGCTGAATTGTCTGTGCCTCCAGCATCCCCAAAGCTGGAGATTTTCTCCTATTCTCCTGGACTGAGACCCAGAAAACAATTTTAAAGTGTAAAAATCTCATTTGAGACTCTAACAAACATGAAGAGAATGAATAACTTTCAATAAGAGAAACTGCTCTCACCTCCAACCCGCATCTCAAACCTCTGTCTCAACTACCCTTCTGTTTCATTTACTCTGAATATTTGATGTGTTGTCAGGGTTTTTTCTTAGAGAAGCTGGTGGTCAGACGTTAGTTAAGACCATTTGGTAGGTGGGTTGGGAATTGACAAGGAAGCAAGTTTCCCAAGTGCTACGTGAATTCTTTTCTCTGTATCCTGTCTCTCCTGCTCACTTTTAGTAATAATGATGAGAGCAGCCTAGAGGAGTTCCAATACAAGTAACTAAAAGAGATATTTTCTTCCAAGCTGTCTGAGAAAAGAGACAATTAAAATAATAGAAAACAGCCTGGCTTGTTTGGCTCAGTGGACTGAGCACCGACCTGTGAACTAAAAGGTTGCCAGTTCAGTTCCTAGTCAAGGCACATGCCTGGGTTGCAGGCCAGGTCCCCAGCTGGGGGCTTTGTGTGAGACAACCCATATCTCACATACTGATGTTTCTCTCGCTCTCTTTCTCCCTCCTTTTCCTCTCTCTAAAAGTAAACAATCAAGAGAGAGAGAACATATACTTTTACCTGTGACATTAAATAGGGGTCATACAGGTTTAGCTATTTTTTTCTAGGAGTATGTGAGCAGGAATCTGATCCCTCCCACTGCTCCCCCCGCCCCCCCGCAATCCATTCTTTCCTCCTCAACATCTTCAGGGAGAGATCTGCATGAGGAACCACACCTCTGAGTTTTGCCATCCAGGGTCAGATGCCACAGAGGTTCTGAGATGGTAGAGGAGGTGGCAGAAGGAAACCTGAGAGACCACATTTCTGATCCATCATAAAAGTCCTGTCATGTTTCACATGTCTTCATGTTCCTTTTAGGGAAAATGCCAGGTGGAATAAAAACCAACATCAAGTCAGCTTCAATGCATCCCTACCAGCGGTGAAGGAGGCCAGCAACCTCTGCTGCCAGGTGATCTTTGCAGAGTTGAGCAGTGAAATCGCCTTTTGCCCAAAGCTGACCTAGATGAGTAGGATAAAAGAACATGGGCTTTCAGCAGCCATATTTTCAGATAAATCCCAGCTCCACCACTGACTAGCTATATGACCTTGCAAGTGACCTAATTTTTCTAAGCCTATTTCCTTATTTGTAAACGGTGATAATACCTACCTCTTAGCGTTGTTATGAGGATTAAAATGAGAAAATAAATTTAAAACACTAAGCACCATGTATGAAATAATTGGTATTCAATAAATGATAGTTTCTACAGCCACTTCTGCCTGTTGCCCTCCACAATCCTTGATCCAGAACTGACCCTGGCCTGATACTGCTTCATGTCATGGGTGAGCTGATGAACACAAGACCACAGACCACTCTGTTCCGTTTGAAAGCCTGTGCTTATTTCGTGCTGCTACAAACTGCCAGCCTCTATGTCCTTAGAGGCTCACTGTCTCTGGCCAGGTTCCCCCCTGGCCATCTCCTAGCTGTAGGCAATAAGGCTTCCAAGCTTGGGTGAACTGTCTACCTGCAGCTCTGGTGAAGCTTGGGCCAGCTGTGCTCCCCACTCTCAGAAGCCAATTCAGCTCTTATCTGAGAAATAGTCACAAAGTTTCCTATCTTTTATCCTACTCTACACACATGAAGGAAGATGTTGAAGGCCCAGCAGGTGGGGGCTTCCTCAAGAAGTAGTTCTACCAGTAGGACTGCGTAAGAAAGGGTTTTCCTTAGCATGTGAAAAAAGCCCTTTCTTTCCCAGGCTCATTTTTCTTACTCAGGAGAAGAGGGAGATTTTACTTTACACTCTTCCTTTAGGGTTTGGTTATCATATGCCCAGTTCCTAGACTACAGCCAGGGATGGCTCTCCTCCAGTCCGCCGAGTCTGTGCCTCAAGTAAGAACCAGACTGATGGTGGGAGGGGGCAACCACCAGTACCTTTCCTGGCTTTTTTAAAGCTGAAGAGCAGTGTGTTTGGGTCTCCAGTCTAAGCTGCTTTTCTTAGCACCCCCTTGTGGGCAAGGGCGGGAGTTAAGGCAAAGGAAGTGGACCAAAAGTTTTCTCTGAATAAAGTTACTTAAATGTTGATGGTCATTGTGTCAGACTTACCTGACAACAATTTATGAAAGAGCTATATAGGGATCAGAGACTTCCAAGGTTGCTGCAAGGCAACTCTAATTTGTTCTCCCTAAAAAGTTTTATCTGCGATTAGCTTTGGTCTAAAATCCTGAGGTATGAGGACAGACTGTTCATACCTTCCAGCAGCCTTTTTTTCCTGCTCTCATCACATTGCTAGTACTTTGACATTTGTTTGGTGCCAGGCAGAATTCTGCCAGGCTGTGGCAGCAAAGGACTGCAAAAGTGGTCCCAGGTGTCACATCCATTCTTGTTCCATCAAGACAAGAAACCTACAAAGTATACCAGCCATATTACACAGCAGCACAGGGAGTCCTGTCATCAGCTCCGAGGCAATGCCAGACCTTTCTCCCACTTTATGGTGCTGCCTTACTGCTCTGTCAGTCCGCTCAGACAGGTCTTCATCTTATTGCCCCTTCTCCCAATGATATTAAAGCTAACTGTCATACTGCCCAGGGTTCATGCTGTGCTTTTCTAAAATCCCTGGAGTATCTTTTGGCAGCTGCTTCCCTTTATTTGACTGAAAGATTCCTTCTGGTTGAAAGGCACCAAACCCATTTCTTTGTTGTCTGTGGTTAATACTGACATCATTCCCACCATTGTATTTGAAATGGATTCCTTGTCCTCTAAGGATGGAACTATCCATCTGCCCTAACAGGAAGATGACGGACCCGACCTATATCTTGTACCCATAAGCAAATATTCCTTACTCTGGAGGCACTCACATCTCTATATTCTAAACTTTGGGAGTATTTGCTTACATTTCCAGGCCCTCCCCACCCCTAAATTCTCTGGAGCTCACAAACGTGTAGCATCGCCAACTTTGGGGGCCCATACAACCCAGTAACCACCTCAGCGGAGAGTATGCATCTCCTGCCCCAACACACACATTCGAGAGGGAATATATATGGAGTTTCCTTTGAAAATGAGGATATGACCTGCTTGCTTGCTCAAATTTAGGATTTGCAAAAGATTACCCTTTTGCCCTATTTTGGTAATATTCCTCAGTCTCTGAGTGCTCTGTTTTGCCTGGGGATTGCTTTTTCCTACTCTTGGGGTCCAGTGTTCCAGGTTTATGCTTAGGATGGAGAAAGAGGCAGCAGGTATGACATAATATCTTACTAGATATTATTACCTGAGTGCATCCTGCTGGAGGCAGGAGCTTACTGAATCAATGTCCGTGTGGCACCCATTGCCTAGGACCTCTTCCTCTCCAGCTCTGTCCTAAGGTTAGGGTTGGGTCATTGTTCAATCTCCATTCATTGCCCCAATCACCCGATTTTATTCCCTCCTGGTGTCCATTGCACTCTTACCTAACTAGTTTACTCCAGTTAACTTTGTACTTTCTTGGGAAACAGCCAAGGTAGATAGATAGGTTGTAGCTAAGTGTTCCTTTTAACTCCACAGGAAGTCCTGGCATTAGGACTGAGCTAGAGGGGCTGTCTTGCCCACCTCCTCTCCCGCTGCTTGGGGGAAGAAGCTGAACTCTGTAGGAATGTCCTAGTGCAAGGCTGGTCCCTTTTCCCACCCCCTTCTCACCTCCCCCAGGCAGCTGGGAACAACCTCTCCCTTTGTCTGAGCTGCTTGTACAGAATAATCCTCCTACAGACAATGTATTCTCTGTGCCCTGTGGACACAGGAGCTGTATGAGCTGATCCCAGCACCAGGCAGGACAGAGGCTGAATCCTTCTAAACGCCCACCCTGGGTCAACTCCTGATTACTGTCCAGAGAAACTAAGGCATGTACATTTTATTTCATCTGCTCCAGATTTGAGGGGATGACCTTCTGAAGTTTAGCAACAAGACAGAAGTAGGGCCAGGGACTTTGGTCCCTTTTCAATTTGATCCTGAGGGTTCGCTGTGCCTCACTGAGGAGTCTTGACGTGGCTCGAACCTGACAGCCTTGAACACACAGGGGCTGACTTTTGTAAAGAATTTGCCACCCTGTAGATGGGGCTCTCTAATTGGAACAGAAGGCAAACTCCAACCCATCTGACCAGGCCATAGCACTCTGTCACTTCAAGATGTGTTTGTCCCACTGGACAAACTTCTTCTCTCCTTCCCTTTAACTTCTCTTTTGTTCTTGAGCCCCTATGAGGCACTGTGGCAGATCCTGGATCTCCGCTGTGGTCTCTTGATGGGTTCCATGCTCTTAGCATGTCACCTACCATTAGGACGTGGCATCTTTTGCAAATTCATCACGGACAAGACGCCTGACTTCTCTGGGCCTGTTTTCTCACCTGAGTGATCCCAGTGTTCCCTCCTAGCTCTAAAGTCTCCGGAAATGATTCTTTTTATTTTCTTAATTGCATGACTATGTCTTGTAAAATAGGACAAATTTTTCTTAGATCAGCCCCCAAATTCCTCAAACCCCTACAGGCTTTTTTATTTTTTTATTTTTTCCTCATTAAACTTTGTTTAATGAGTCTCAAAATTCTGTGATAGATTTTTGGTCAAGTTGTTTCCATTAAAAGTACCGATTTTAAAAAAACTAGTAACTTAAAAACTGCCACATACACACAAAAACCAAATGGTCCGCAAAACATTCTGTTTTCCTTCTGAAGGTTTTCATGAGGCATTGGAATCATTAACGAGTCTTTTACTGTTAAACTTAAGTGGCCAATTGAAACAAACAGTTCTGAGACCATTCTTCTACCACTGATTATTTATTTAGCCTTCTGAGCTTCCTGGGCAGACTTGGTGACTGCTCGCTCCAACTCCTCCTTGTCCACTGCTTTGATGACACCCACAGCAACTGTCTCATGTCACAAACAGCAAAATGTCCCAAAAGAGGATAGTCAGAGAAGCCCTCAACATACATGGGCTTGCCAGAAAACGTATCGATGAGGGCAGCATCACCAGACTTCAAAAACTTTTGGGCCATCTTCCAGCTTTTTCCCAGAATGATATGTCTCCTTTAGCTCACCAAATTTGCAAGCCATATAAACTGTGTGACAATCCAGCACAGGTGCATGTCTGGCACTGATTTGGCTGGATGGTTCAGGATAATTACCTGAGCTGTGAAGCTTGCTATTTCCTATTGGTGTCACCAGCCACAATGCCATGACAAACATTTCTGACAAACACACTCCTGACATTGAAGCCCACAATATACCCAGGAAGAACTTTCCTCAAAGCTTCATGGTGCATTTCAGCAGTATTTACTTCGGTTGTTATGTTGACTGGAGCAAAGGTGACCAATGTGCTGGACCTGAGAACACCAGTCTCAGCTTGGTCCGCAGGAATAGTACCAATGCCACCAGATGTGTAGATACCCCGCAGGGTCAGAGGCAGGGCCTTGAATGAGCTGATGGCAGGATGTGATCCAGAGCTTCAAGCAGCATGGTGTCACTGGCTTTGTCATGTTTACAGGTCACTTTCCATCCCTTGAGCCAAGGCATGTTGTCATCTGGCTCCAGCATCTTGTCACCATTCCATCCAGAAATTGGCACAAATGCTCCTGTGCCAGCTACAATGTAGGTGCTGACTTCTTCAACAATTTCCTTGTGTATCTTCTGGCTGTCGGGTGGCTCAGTGGAATTCATTTTGTTAACACCATCAGTCAGCTGTTTCATACCCTGTGTGTAAAGCCAGAAGGGCATACTTGTGGGTCTGCCCATTCTTGAAAATCCCTGCTTTAAATTCACCAATCGGGACAGCACAGTCAGCCTGAGATGAGATGTTGACCGGACCAAAGGTGACTAGCATGCTGGGGTTGAGAACACCAGTCTCAACTTGGCCCACAGGGAAAGTACCAATAACCACCAGATGTGTAGGCATCCTGGAGGGACAGAGGCAGGGACTTGAGTGAGTTTGTGGCAGGATGCAATCAAGTTTTTTGTAAAGTCTGTGTGTCCTGGGACATCAATGATGGTCACACAATACTTGCTGGTCTTGAATTTCCACAGGGAGATATCAGTGGCGATAGAACGCTCACATTCAGCTTTTAGTTTGTCTGAGACCCAGGCACACTCCAAGGAGCCCTTCCCCATCCCAGCGGCTTCCTCAAATTTTTCAATAGTTTTTTTGTTGACCCCACCACATTTGTAGATCAGGTGGCCAGTAGTGGTAGACTTGCTGGAATCTATGTGCCCAGTGGCTATGATATTGATATGAGTCTTTGCCTTTCCCATTTTG